AATAAAATATCAGCAAATGCCAGAAATTTCCTGACCTTAATTCCAGCAGACTTGCCTTCCTCCCCTTTCTGAAGTTTTTGCTTCCTTTCCAGCCCTTGCTATTTAGATGTTAATCACCAGGTTTTATTAGGCAAAAAAGGCATCTGCTTGCTCTGCTGACCTGCGTGCCTTGCTTAGTGCTTCTTCCCCCTGGGAGTGTGCAGGTGACTGCAGGGGCAAGGTGACTCCCTGCCCGAGCCCACCACGGGTTCAAGGTAGCAAGCTGTGGGATGCTCTGCAGCCGTCGGGCCTTGATGTTACATAGGTGTGTGCTCTAGCGCACTCTTCAGTTGCAGGACCATGACCCTAAAAAAATCTGCTGCTATAGGATTTCATAGAAGGACATTAAAGCAAACTAGAGCACCTAACTATGAGCCAGATCCTACCTTTCCTAGCTGAATGTCTGCCTGAGAGGCAATTTGCTTTACAATCTATTGCCAAGAGCTGCAAAATCTGCCTTTTGCTCATTTCCTCTCATAGCCATGCTCTGCGATATTTCTCATTCCCACCCACATCCAGCACAATAAAAAATATTTGTATAAGGGCTTTTGGCCAGGTATATTATTGCTCTCTGGAGGAGGGGCCTCCCGAGCACAGTGTGCAGTATATTTTCCCCAAAACCACTGTGCTGCACTATTGCTGTGGAAGCAACACGTGCAGTGATGGCTATGGAGTAACCAGCCGTGGGTACATCGAATCACTTGCTTTGAGAGTGCTAGCGGCAAGAGAAGGGGGATACTGGCCTGCTGGGGCTGTGGTGCGTGCTCGCCATTGCCATGTTTGCAGATCGTTGTCCTCTCCTCCCACAACGGTGCAGCAGAAGAGTTGCAGGGAAGGTTGCAGCTTTGCCATCCTGGCACAAGCTGTGTTTGATTTACAAAGTCGTCTGCAAATGTTACGTTTCCTGTGTCTCCCGAGGCTAGATAAAGGATTGCAGGTGGTTTCTGTTATAGGCTGTGGATGTTACAGTAACAGACATGCCTTTCTGCTGGAAATACTGCAGTATTTCCACAGTGCTTTTTTCTTGAGGGCAAGACTAGGCAATGAATGCTGACACTTGCAGGCCAGACTTCCTTTATAAAATATTTGCACAATAGCAGCTCTCTTCTAGTCCTGAAACCTACCAAAGCTTTGTGATGCTTTGAAAACCACTATGGGCAAACTTAAAACACTCCTGACCAACTCTTTCGGGTCTTTTGCTTTTGGGTATGCTGCTCAGTGCAGACCGATGCACAAGTGTGCTGCCAGCTGGGGTGACAGTTGGGCGCAGTGGGGAGAGCCCATGGCACCCCAGCAGCTGCTGCCAGAGGATGTAGTGGAGCCCTGGGGCTCTGCTGCTGGCCCTGACTGGAAGGGGTCTCTGCAGCAGGCACACAGTGGCATGCTCTTTTGTCTGGCTTTCACATAAGTGTTGCAAGAACATCTTCTCAACTTCACAGGATGGAAAAAAGGAAGTCTGTGAATCTCAGGTGGGGCGTGGGACCGGTTTCCCTGGCGTGCTGGGGCAGGAGCAAGGGCAGAAGCCCCCGAAAGCCCTGGGCTGCAGCGCAGGGGAGCTGGGGCAAGGCTGGAGAAGGCGATCGCCTCTCCGCTCCGGCCTGGGCTTTCTGTGCTGCATTTCACGGACTTCCCGGGAGGTGGCAGGCCAGTTTTATAAATCCACAGCACGCGGTTGGCAGCGAGCAGCGCCAGCCTGCGCCGGGAGAGGGCTGGGCAAGCCCCCCGAGCGCCCGGGGAGGAGCGGCGACCGAACCGCCTTCCCCCGGCACGGCCGCAGCTGGCGGGGCTGCACCGCTGCTCCCCTCCTCCGTGCACCTCGGAGGCTGTTCAAAACTCTCTTGTTAATGGAAGAGCCCTTCGAAATGTCCTCGCGGTTCGCTCCAGATTGCACCGGCCCCATCCCCGGCAATACGTCTCCCTGGCTTTGGCGAGGTCCCCTCCTGCCTGGGTGGCACATGGGACCTTTGTCCCAGGCCGTTGTGCAAACGCGGGCGAGCCATGGGGCGGAAATGGACGGGACAGCAAAAACAAGCAAACCGGTTACACAACTTCAACGTGTAATTCCAGGGCTTCTAATTATTGATTTTGAAAGGGAGGAAACAGGTTCTGGACTTGCAGGACAAACACGAGTGTGAGAGTTTAATTCTCTCCCTATTCTTTGGAGATCTCCTGTACCTTCTGGTTGTAGTGGTGGTGGACTAGGCTCGATGTCCTGGGATCAAAAGCCTGGAAGGCTCTCCCAGGAAGAGGTGGTGGTTTTGCAGGCATGGTGCAAGGGCAGGGAGAGTTGGTCACTGATCCCAGAAAAAGAGACAGTTAATTTTTGTAATGTAACAGGAAGGTGGAATCATGCAAAATGCCACAGGTATCCTAAACTGCCTGCAGTTTAGTCACACAGGCTCGTGTGACTTTGTCTGGAGTACTGCCCGATGCTGTGAGTGCCACCCAGATCACACTTGGGGCAACAGGCAGCTGGGGGTTTGGGACAAACTGGTTGCGGGAAGAGCTGCTGCCCTCTCCTAAGGTGCTGTTTCACATGCCACAGCAGTACTGAGCCACTGACGTGAAAGCCCCACAAGCTGAGAGACCAGACGCAACTGCAGAGTGAGGCTCGTCCTTTGATGCAGCACCATTATTTTAAAAGCAGTCACCAGGTTGGCTCCAGGCGCTGCAGCAGTCAGTGAGAACAGCCACTGCGACTGTGGAAGAGGCCAGAGGAGCAGGCTATGGACAGCCCAGGGCATCCATCACCCGCCAGGGTCTGCGAGCAGCCCCAGCGCTGCCAGGCAAACCCACCGGGACTGCCTGGGAGGAGCTGGTTTGTGTGCCAGGCTCTGAAGGCTTCCCATCAAAGACCCATGTCTGCAACCTGGGGGGAAAACCTCCCCAAAGGCACCATTCACTGAAGAGATGCTCGCAAGCCCTCCCACACAGGAATTCAGTTCTTCACCAAATCCATGGGGCTTTGCTAGCTGTGGAAAGCCAGCAGTCAGCAAGACTGTGTGTCTTTAACCAAATTTAGCACAGGAACAGGGCTCCAGAGAAGCTGTGCGATCTCTGTTCCTGGGGATACTTGCAACTCACCTAGACATAGCCCTGAGCTGCTGCTCTCGTCTTGAAGCTTGCCCTGCTTGGAGCAGGCATTGGACTAGAGACCTCGAGGGGACTTCTCTAGTGGCTGTATCATTCCCAGCACCTGGGACTTCAATGCTGTCAGCTAAACCTTTGCTAGAGGTAAATGGAAACCTTCAGCAAGAACCCAGAGCATCAAACACCACGGAGCAGATCCAGGCTCAAGACTGTCCCACTCACCATACTTAAGTGAGGTCAGGTGCCTTGTGGGTGTTCAGTTCTCTGCACCCTTTTTGCCCAGGGATCTCTGCAAGTGCAGTCATCAAGCTGCTGCAGCTGCAATGCACAGCACTGATCCCCTGCCCCCTTCCAAAATAAGGAGTAAAGGTTTTCAAGATTCCAGGGCTTGCTGACATCTTGCCTTCAGTGGGAAATCATCATTTGATTCACTTGTCCAAGTGCTGACAGCTCTGTGTGATCCCACCCCAATCCTGGCATGGGGAAGCTGGCAGCACAGCAGCCATTCCCATACACCTCTTATGGGCACAGGGATTTCTCAGGTTGTCATGTAATTGTCTGTGCCCAGCCTGTTATCCAAGACTCTGGGGATGGTAGAAAACCCACTCCACTTTGAGGGGAAACAATCATTTTTCAGATATGGCTGAAACACTGCAGCTGTGGATGGCTTTGAACTATGTTATAAACTCAAAGGAACCTTCACCACATTGATTCAGTCTGCAAAATCAATGGCCCTGAATCTGTTATGTCCAGGGAAGGGTCAACAGCCAGCACCGCTGTTTGCATTGCAGTCATTTAGAAACCTGAGGCACGTGAAGAAAATGTGCTCTGGTGTGTAGGACCATGCCAGCAGAGCAAGGCAAGGGCTTTGGGAACTGTGGGGGGACACATCTGCCCTGGGAAAGGCTTGTCCCAAGTGGTGCTTCTGATATGTGTGAAGGCCAGTGTGAGCTCTTCAGCCACGCTGCAGTGCAATGAGCTTCGCAGCTGTCATGCAGCATCTGTGGGTGTTAAAACACAGAGGGATGGAGCCCTACCTGAGGGTGTGCCACACACATGGCGATAAGGGGTGAAACAGCCCAGACTTGCAGTCAGAGCTACATGAGTGGGTCCCTGCACATCTAGAAAGCAACTCTGGGGTGCGTTCAGTGGGTGGGGGAGCACATTCATAGCTTTCAGGGCTTTTATAAGGTAGGGCACAGTAGGGTCTGGTCACAAGAACTGGCCTTTCATTAAGCACAAGATGGAGATTTTTCACCTCCAGCTCACTTGATTTCCATCGTGTCTGGTGTTGATATAAAGACTCGGATACAGAGTTCAGTGGCCTGAGCGTTTGTAGCAGCCCAGGCTCTCCCACCGAGGAGGGATGCCTATCTCGGGGCCCAGCCGAGGGCTTGCCGTGTGTGCCCCGGGGAGGCGGCACGGCGTTCCCCCATCGCTCAAGGCACCCCCGGGCTGAGCTGGGCCCCCACCACCGTAACCACTTGCGCGGCTTCCCCCCCCTCTTTTTTTTTTTTAACTTTTGCGGGGCCGGGGGCCCGACC